CATAGAAACCACAAGTCAACGCATGTTTGTTTTGTGGGAGTGGCCTAGGACAGTGGTCGGCAAACTGCGGCTTTCGAGCCACATGCGGCTCTTTGGCCCCTTCAGTGTGGCTCTTCCACAAAATACCAACTTCTGCGCATGGGCCACAAAGTTTCAACCGCACGTGGTATTTTGTGGAAGAGCCACACTGAAGGGGCCAAAGAACCGCATGTGGCTCGCGAGCTGTGGTTTGCTAACCACGGGCCTAGGACATTCCGCTTCATAGTGAAGATTGAGGACCACTGGCCTAGGCCGTGCACAGGGAGTCTTTACTACTGCTCTTATTTTGAGATCTTACACACACATACACGCTCCCCTCCCCTTTCTCTCTACCTCAGAGGGGATGGCTTTCAGAAGACCTGGATTCTGCTTCTGTTTCTCTTTTTGACTGTGCAATGGAGCAAGCTCTGAGGTCCTCATCTTTGAAACGCGTGATTGTAAGGATCAATGAGATCCTGTGAGTAAAACTGCTTGGTAGCCTGAAGGACTGGGCATGAGTGGGGCAGAGTTATTACTGATGTGTGTTAGTTCACGGCCGGACAGTTTGCCGGAGCCGTCAGGAGAGAGCTTACTATACTTTCAAAGGCCACAGAAACATCTTTGTAGGTGACTCAAGATGATATTGCTGAGGAGGGAGGAGGATGGGGGTCCGGTTCCACATTTTACAGATGGAGACGCTGAGACCCAAGAGGAGCCGGGTCACTTCTGTCACTTCTGCAGCAAGTCAGTGGCCAAGCATGGAAGGAATGTTGTACCGATCTAGGTTTGTAGCCTCTGTGCATGGCACTCTTGAATTTTGACTCTTGAGAGTGGGAAGGGATTGAACAGGGAAGAAAACAAAAGGCCCTTGGATGTGTTAGTGAAGACGCAAACCCAATTCAGTTCATTGAATTCTGTGCATGTCATCAATCAGCCTTGAGGGTCAAGGAGATGCTGGCTGGACTAAAATTTGGGGTCTAGAGTGGCCAATGGTCCCAGCAGCCCCTTGGGGTGCAAAGTGAACGGGATGAGCCTGTTGAGGTATCATTGCCATCCATGCTGGCCCCTCAGGCGCCACTGTCAGCTGGCGCTGCTGCTGCTGTTGCACAGCTCCAGGCACAGGCTGAGTAGCGAGTAGAGGGGCCTCTGCCTGCCTTCGCCTCCCTGTTCTCTGAAAAAGGGAGGAGCCCTGCCTGCTGTGCACGGAACGAATGGAACACAGGGTTGCACAAGTGGCTCCCTGCGTGCTCTCAGACGTAATGCAAGTGTGGCCGGTGTCGGCTGATGCTTGAGAGAGGTTGCAGCTGGGAGCTCTGACTAGGAACTCCAATTCTCCTGGCTGCTGTGAGCGGACACTGGAGGCACCTTTTCTGCAGGTGGGGGTCTTCTGCAGGGAGAAGACTGCCCTTGGGTAGAGTTGAGTCAATACCTCCAATGTCTTAAAAACCCGGGCACCTTGAAAGAGTACCATCACCCAGGCACTGTTGACTGCCCATCGTGTTGTCTGGCAGAATGCCCGCCGTGTGCTGCTTGGGCTTCCCTAAACCTGGCTGATCCCCCCCCCCCCGCCCGCCCCCCGCGGGACTGCAGGGAGCAGCACGGGCTGTACGTTGTGACTGCCTTGAGTTGTCTGGGGGCAAGGGGAGGTATGGACAGGAGCCCGGGGTTAGGGAACAGGAGGAGGAGGTGTGTTGGGCTGATGATAAAACACCCACAGCTGGCGGGCTGCCTCCACAGGTGGAGAAACCGTCTTTATTTCAGAACTGCCTGCTACCAGAGTCAATAACTATCATTACAAGAAGTACAAGAGAGAGACAGACAACAGGCCAGTGGGAGTGGTTCCATCTGAACAAACACCGAGTCAGGTCCCTGGTCCGAGGAAGCCCCAGGCCTTGCGGGCCCTGGAGAGGTGGGTAAGTTGGAGTGCGGGGACCAAGGCAGGGCCCAGCCCAAAAGGGCGCTAGGCTTCCTGGGCTCTAGGCAAAGCTACCTGACCCATTTTTCCCTTCTCCAGTTTCCTTCTATGGTACCTTCCCCAAACCTATGACCATGTACATAGACAGCTACTGGGCACCTCTTTCCATGGGGCTCATTGGCATCCCCTTAAAATGCCTCGCTAGTCCCTCACACCACTCCAGGAGCCTCTGGCAACCTCATTCATCCCAGGACACAGCCCAGTAAGGCCTCCCCAGGGAGATCGGCACCACACCTGGGCCTCAGCCGGGTTTGAGGACACTGCTGTCCCTGCGACAGGAGCCCAGGTGGCAGTCCTTCTGAGACCAGGAGGACAGTCCTCTGGCTAGGAAGGGATACGGGAGTAAAATCGTCAGCCAGCCTGGGCTCTTGTCCAGAGCAAGGACTGGGTGGTTCTCGGGATGGCCAGGAGGCAGTGCTGGGCATCGGGCTGCCTGGGTGAGCTCTTTCCCTCTGCGATGCGGCGGGGCCACCGCAGATGGGCACCCCAGGACTCCTTGCCAGCACCTTTGGGTCTAAGGATCTCAGCCCTGGAGGGACACCCCGCAGCATCTCCCCCCCTCCAGGCCTCCCCTCACTAGACTCCAGATGCCCCCCTTCCTCAAGGCTTTCTTAGGAAGGTAGAAGCTTCTTGCTATCCAGGCTCTCCTTGCAGGCGTTTCTTTCTCCCTTTAGTCTTTTTATCAAAAGAACCCCCCCCCCCCCGCCCCCTCTTCCCCCCCCCCCCACCCCCGACCTGGCCCTTCTATTTCCTGGCAGCATCTGGATCATTTGATGATAGTAGACAACCTGACCTTGATGGGCCCCAAGACCCCATCCTGTGAGAGCTGCCCTCCCTGGGCCTGTCAGAGCCCCGAGACCAGGTAGCCAAGGCCACGGTGAGGAGCCTGCGGGCCGAGCCCGTGGACACTGAGCAGAGAAACTCCCCCCTGTCTCTGTCCCTAGTCCTCAAGGCACTTACTGGCCACTAAACTGGGGCGGGGGTGAGGGGGGAACACAGTACTTGCTGCTTGGGCCTGGGATGAGAGAGGAGAGACCCAGAATCGAGCAGCAGAGGAGATGAAAATCGGAGGCCCCTGGGGCAGGAAGAGACGCCGAGAAACCATCTCCTCTCTTCCGCCCCCAGGCGAGCTCCTGTCCAAGAGGCTGTTCCATTTCACAAGCCTGCGTGTCCTCATTCAGCCTGAGCGCTACCTGAAGTCTCCAGCTGCCAGGACATGGTTTTAGTGAAGTCCTGCGTCCTGGAACAGGTCCTCCCGGCACAGTGGTTCGCTTTCCCTGGGGCTGAGTTTTCCCAGTGAGAACCCCCCTCATCTCCCAGAGACCTGCCTTCCTCCCTTTTGCTAATGGGCCTCCTCAGAGCTAAGACACTGGTGGTGTCTGTTGACTCAGGCAAGCTGAGGACTGCAGCCTCCAGCTGCGCTGGTTAGGCACCGAGCCAAACCCCTCATCCCTCTAGGCCAGCGGTTCTCAACCTGTGGGTCACAACCCTTTGGGGGTTGAACGACCCTTTCACAGGGGTCGCCTAAGACCATCGGAAAACACATATAGAATTACATATTGTTTTTGTGATTAATCACTATGCTTTAATTATGTTCAATTTGTAACAATGAAATTGGGGGTCACCACAACCTGAGGAACTGTATTAAAGGGCCGCGGCATTAGGAAGGTTGAGAACCACTGCTCTAGGCTCCCCTGGCAGTGAGGACAGAATCAGCTAAACCTTGGAAGAAGGTTTCTTCCTGTGAGCATCCCCTTTCTGACAGAGCAAGGCCTGGCCCAATCACCGCCACGGAGGTGAGGCCAAGTCTGTGTTCCCTGTAAGGGTCACAGAGCTGAGCAGCAGGTGAGGAGGGTGTGGCCTGGTGTCTCCAGGGAGGCAGTCCTAGGCTGGGGCGGTGGCGGTGTCGAGGTGGTGGGGAGAAGAGGTGTGAGCTTGCATTTTTGAAAAAACTGTAGTGGGTAAAAACACCAACATAAACCTGCCCTGGAAAATAGAGCAGGACTTAAAAGTTTAAAAAACCATAGCAAAATAGGGCTCTCACTGTAAACGACAAAAACCAGGCGTGGGGGCCCGTCCCCTATGAGATACCTGTCCGGATGCTCGTGGATGCCAAGGGCCACCAGTCAGCACGGTTGTGCCGCCACTGCCCCTGGGTTGGGGAATCCCTGTGCTGGCTTTGGCCTCTGGGAACAAGGGTAAGGGGCACGGGGGCTTCAAGCCAGCACGGCATAGTGAGGTCTTAGCAGAAGCGAGGCTCCGAAGGCAAGGGCCTGAGGTCTCCTAGAATCTGCCCACACCTTGGGTTGGCCCCAGCCAGGCTGCTCACCCCATAATCACCCACCAGGGTCTCCAGAAGCAGAATTTTCCACGCCCACTGTCCCTGACCACCGTAACAAGGGGGCCGGAGTTCTCATCTGAGCCCCGTCGCGGACACGCTGTGTGACCCTGACCCTTTCGAGCTCAGTGTCTTCATCTGTAAAGTGAGGGGCTTGGACAAGGTGAGCTCTAAAGCCTCGATGTTCTGTGACTGGCAAGGTACCCAGAGCACAAGGCAGGAGGTCCCGTTTATTAACCCCTTTTCTTCTGGAGAAATGCCAAAGAGCGGTCTGAGGCAGCCCAGGGGACGGGTCTTGCCAGGTGATCGGGTTTTCCTGGGAGCAGGCAGGGCCGTGTTTATCCTCTGTCCTTCTCAGAAGCCTGCCGTTCACTCTCCCAGGCGCCAGTGGGTCCGTGCGGGGGGAGTGGAGTCCTGTGCCTGCAGGCCGCGCTGGAGAGGGGGTGGGCACACACCCATCTCTGGTCTCCCCAACCCTGGAGGGACTGTGCAGAATGGGTCTTGGTGGGTGGGGGGCCTCCCCAAGACAAGCCCTTAGGTCACCCAGCCACCTGTGGTGGCTGCTGTCACTCTGGGTGACAGGTCGGGTTGGCAGTGTTGGCTAAGAGGGCAACATCAGGCCAAGTCTGGTGCCCCTCCCCCCAGGTGCCCAGCCTCTCAGTCCCTGTTAGCTCCCCCCCCACACAGTCTGGAGTATCACCCCCAATGCTGCAGGGGCTCAGCCATCAGGGCCCTGGTGCTCAGCCACCTGGTCAGGTGGCAGGAGCCTCCAGGGAGTCATCGAGGGCAATGCCAGGGTCCAGCCGTGCCGCCCCTCGAGAAAGTAGGGGGGTCCTTGGTCCCGGGGTGGCTCTCTCCTTAGACTCAGGGATGCTCATGTGTATGCCTTGTTCCACTTCAGCCGGGTCACATCCAGTGCTCCTGCCGGGTCTGGGGCGCTGCCCTCAGGGGACAGAGTCCATCTGCGGTCGCAGGACGTGAAGGGAATGTTTCCGATGCCCTTCTTCCCATAGGCCTGGCACCCAGAGGGCCCGGCACGGGTTCCGTATCATCATGGAAATCACTGCCTGGTGCCTCTTGATTTAAAAAAAAAATCCTTGCATGGGTTCTAGCCAGTGGCAGAATATGAAATATCCTACCTCCTACAAAAGGGGCACTGTCTACAGTAGGTATTTAAAACCAGCCATCCTCAGGCACAGTGTTGGGCCATCTTGGCATCGGGAGGGGCCGGGCCAGCTGGCTGCATCCTCGGAGGTGGTGTCCGGCGGTGGAGGGAGGGGCGCCAGGGTCAGAGCTCCAGGTGGCCTATGAAGACCAGCATGGCCATGGAGTGGGAGAGGATGGTGCTGGGGCGCAGGGCTGGGCAGACTGCTGAGTTCTCCACCATCATGCTTGTGTCTGGAAGCGGCAGGCAGAAACGTGGGGCAGGGTTGGCCGGGTACCCCCCCCACACCCACACCCCACTCTTGCGAGGGGACCCAGGCCTTTCTATGGAGGCTCACGGAGGGCAGGCTTCCGGACTGAGGGCCCCACTCCTACGGCATTTTGCAGGGCCTCGGCCTCCCCCTGGCCCCCTGAGAGGAGCACGCTCACCTCCCCAGCTCTCAGAGGGGTGAGGGATGGGGGGAGGGGGGCCAGGGCACTTCCAGGACTACTTTGCACTTGGCTCCTGCCTGCTGTCCCCTTTCCCCTTGGGTCTGGCTGGACTGGGGTTGCCTTGGGCAGGAAAGATTCCCTCGTCAGGCATCTGAGTGGACCCTGAGACTCCCGGGGGGCGGGGGGGGGGAGGCAGCACCTCCGTTCCTCACGATGTGGACTTCTGCCGGGGTTCCGTCCCCTCCAGGCCCCGTGGTCCGAATCTGCACCAGGGCATAGCCGATGTCTTCGGGGACGGCAACTTCTATCCAGTCTTGCTGGTGAGGTGGAGCGTGGGTGTGGGGTGTAAGTCATTCTGGTACAGCATCTGTGGGAAGGTTGGGCAGGTGGCGTCACTTACACCAGGGCCGATTCTTCCCTCTCCCTCGGCCCGAGGCACCAGGCCCAGGAGGGCCTGCGTCCTCACCCCTCCTGTTTCCTGTTGACCAGGACCAGGCTCTTGAGCAAGCGCGTCATTGGTGGAGAAAAGCTTGCAGCCAGCTGCACTGTTTTTGCAGACCCCTTAGGCTAGGAGGACCCCCAGGCTCCCCCAGGCCATCACAGCCCCCCTGAACCCTGCCTTCCTGCAGCCATACCACCTCGCCCCCTTTCTTATAGTGGCCACTACAAGTTACCTGGAGACCCATTCGTGTATCTCCTCTTACATCTAACGCAGGTCCCTTCTGCTACAAAGCGCCGCCCTCTGTGTTCCCTGCGAATGCAGACGAGCCGTTCCCACCATCCAGTGCTTAGCCGATCCCTCCCTACCTTATAGCCAGTGACCGCAGACTCATTGCGAAGAGGGACCACAGGGTCCCACTTAATACTCAGACTGGAGCTCGAGAACGTCCAGGAGATGTTGCCGGGAGGTCGCCGAGGAGCTGCCGGAGGAGGGAGGAGGTTGGGCGGGCCGGCCTGTGAATGTGTCCTCACCACCCACCCCTTGCCTTTGGCCAGCCTTACTCTGAGTGTCCGCCTAGCCGCTGCACCCAGAACATTCCGTCACAGCTGCCTCAGAAACAAACCCCATGAGAACCCACAGGCGGGAGGAGAGAGGCTGTGAATCCACGCCCCATTCTCACGAGGCTGCTGCCTCATTTCTGTCCAGCCAGGCTTGTGGGCTGGAGCATCTGTCTTGCACCGGGGGAAAGAGTGATCCTGACCTAGAGACACACCCCCTCTACCCCAAACACACCTGTCCCCCACCCCAGGCCGGCAGACTCACGGGGCTTCATGGTTGTGGCATTGGCAGACGGGCTGGCAGGCCCAGTGCCCGCCCGGTTGTAGGCCCGAACGGTCACGTGGTACTTGGTGTTGGGGTGCAGGTCAGTGACTCGGGCAGTGGTGTCCAGCCCTGCCGTCCTCACACGGTCAGCGGCTGCTTCTTTGTCCCCAGCTTTCCAGTAGCGGATCTGAAGGGGCCGGGATACCCTAGGTCAGTGATGGCGAACCTATGACACGTGTGTCAGAGGTGACACGCGAACTCATTTTTTTGGTTGATTTTTCTTTGTTAAATGGCATTTAAATATGTAAAATAAATATCAAAAATATAAGTCTTTGTTTTACTATGGTTGCAAATATAAAAAAATTTCTATATGTGACACGGCACCAGAGTTAAGTTAGGGTTTTTCAAAATGCTGACACGCCGAGCTCAAAAGGTTCGCCATCACTGTCCTAGGTTCAGCAGTCAGTGCAGGACTGCAGGGCTCCCCCGACTCCAGCCCTGGCCCCCACATTCTGTTCCTCTCCTGCTCCCTGAGTGGGGAGTTCCTCCTCAGTGGGGCCTGCCTAACCTGTAGTGCTAACACCCAGCTGACTCTGATGGAACGGTATTAACCACATCCCTGGGGACCGGGCGGATGGCTTCCTTAGGCAGTGACATCCTTGCTTCTTCATCCCTTCCTCCTGGCTACCTCGCCCCATCACTGCACAGGCCCCCTAGTGTGGGCTCATCGGTGGGCCCAGGGCTCAGGTCAGAAACCGCTGGGTCCAGAGTTCCGTAGGAACAGGATGACCAATTGGTATCTAGAGGGGGACATGCTGTTCCCTGCAGCCCTGAGGATGCTGAGCTAGCTGGGCTCTGGTATGAGAGGGGCAGGCTATGCCCCTTCCAGAACCTGCCCCTCTTCCCCAAGTCCCTCTTCTCCTAGGCCCCACCCCCTAGGCCCCTCCCAGTGGTGGGCAAACTCATTAGTCAACAGAGCCAAATATCAACAGTACAACAATTGAAATTTCTTTTGAGAGCCAAATTTTTTAAACTTCAACTATATAGGTAGGTACATTGTTAACTTAATTAGGGTACTCCTAAGGCATAGGAAGAGCCACACTCAAGGGGCCAAAGAGCCGCATGTGGCTCGAGAGCGCAGTTTGCCCATCCCGGCCTAGGCCCTTCCACCCTCCTCCTCTCCTAGGCCCCTCCTCCCCTAGGCCCCTCCTCCCCTAGGCCCCTCCTCTCCTAGGCCCCTCCTCTCCTATGCCCCTCCTCTCCTAGGCTCCTCCTCTCCTAGGCCCCTCCTCTCCCAGGCTCCTCCTCTCCCATTACTCTCCTTCTCCCCGTCACCTCCTCTATCAGCTTCTTCTTCTCCCAATGTTTCGCTATGTCTTAGTTCTTCTTTTTTATG